AGCAAACAAGGAATCTACTTTTAAAACATTTCACGTCGTGTTCTTCAAACATGTCTGAGAAATTTTTTTCCACTGTCCTAAATTTGTCAGTGTCTTTTATGTATTTTAGTGAGACAGGCTTGATTGTTGTGTGCTGAGGCTTTTAGTGTAAAAAGCCATCTAAATTTTTTGAGTTCAAAAAGTTTGATGAAATATGTACAGTTGTAAATTTATAGTGCAATTAGACACAACTATACACGCTTTAAAAATCATTATGCTTCTCTCCTCTATTTAATTGACTTATAACACGCATTTAATAGACAAAACAAGTTAGTTGGGGAAACATAATAATTGACAGTAAACAAACTGGTAGGCCTAAGCAGATCCAATGAAATGCATAAGACAGAAGTATCGCACTTATCTGGAAATAGAAGTAAACTTATGATGCACACCAAGGAAAATTTAACCATCTTAAAATCTTCCAGGTTTTTTCAAGCGAATGTGACCACCCTGCCTGACCAGAGTAGAGATGATATTAATGAGTTTTTAAAAAAAACAACGCACATCCTATATGAAGGCTAAAAGTTTGATACAATTCATCAATGTTATTTGCCTTATGCAACAAACATTATCTACCAGTTTGATATGCTGGTTGATCAGTGCCTATTTAGTAAGTCTTCTTAAGTTAAATCTATAGTACCAGTGAAGCACCATACAAACATATTATACATTATTATTATCAATACAACAGACCAAAAACAGAGATATTGACATAAGCTGATTGGTTACTAGAGTTAATGTTAACACAATGTAAAAAAACAATGACAAAAATGACAAGCACAGAAACACAAAAAGAAATAATTGCCCTAAAAATTGTTTTTCAAACCACCCGTTAAAATTAATGAATTAAAGCTAGTTTCCCGTTTAAAAAGTTAAGTCACATTAAGTGTCAACCTAGAAAATATGGCAGGATTTTCATCACAAAAGCAGTGCTTAGGTTATCACATAACTTCTGTGGATGTATCCAAACTTTCTCTTTCTTCAGAATACATGAAGCATTATTAAGATCACAGAAGGGTGATTGTGGCATGCATAAGAACTAGCATAAGCAGGGAGGGTCCGTTGACTCATCTGGTGGAAGAACTTTAAATGACTCAGTATCATGAATGCTTTGGAGTTCAAGGCGAGAGCGATTTGCTTCAACAAGATGTTGTGCAATGTCCTCGAACATCTCGTGCACTCCCTCCCCTGATCTACAAGATGTCTTAAAAGTGGCACTTATCAAATTATGGCACTGCTCGCTGTGAACAAATAAATATTTAATTTAATCAAAACTTTTTAGAGATATTAAGTCACATCAAGTCTTTCTTGAAAACATACCAAAATGACTCCATATCTGCATCAGTGACTTGGGGAGTGGATCCCTCCAAGTCAGATTTGTTCCCACACAAAAATATCTTGGCATTTTCTGCATAAGTGACAATGTCAAGCAGATGTTGACTGAGAACATGGAATGAAGCTGCATTGTCCAAGGAGAAAACTAATACAGCTGCTTCCGCAAATTTATAATAACTTGATGTTATTGATGCTACCCTCTCCATACCACCGGTATCCCAAAGTTGGAGCTGGAGTTAAGCAAAAACATGTGAGTTTATAAAATAAAAATAAAGGTACTAGAAGAGTCTTAATAAACTCACTCGTAACTGACGCCCTGCAACACTATACTCTTTATCAAAATGGTCAAGACCCAAAGTTGACTGTCTATCACTTGCTGTGACGAAAGTATTGTTGGTAAAACGCCTAAAAAGTGAACTCTTTCCTACTCCGAATTCACCACAAAGAATGACTTTCTGTTTTGGAACTTTGATCGATGCCATGAGTGAATTTTGTCACAGCAAATTCATGGAGACGAGATCCTGCAATCAGAATAAACATCAATCATCTTTCCATTAAGAAACATTTCTTTGTAAAATTGAAACCTGCAATGACAAGGAAATTATATCTAGATGAGGAGACAGCCTGCAACTTTTTGGCTTGAAACACACAAAATATAACAAAAAGCTCAGAAGGGTTAGAGTCTGATCAACAGGAAATTGAAAAATATGGGAAGGGGCAAATGAATGAGCTGGAATCAATCAATTTTTAACAATGTAACTCCACACTAAATAAAGTCTGCACTGAATGTTGAGGTTAACTTGTCACCTCGATATGGATAAAACCTTTCCGTGACAGAAATATTTCGTAAAACTCTAGCCTTTCAAATAAAATGGATTTACATAGTCAAACTGAGTTTTTAATTCCAAGCTGTGTCTATCATAAACATCAGAGTTTTACGCACGAACTAGTGGTTGTTGACAGAACACCAGCCCGCATACACACACACATACATACTCGTACCACACACGCACACACTAAAGCACTCACACACACAATGAAAGGCCGCAAACAAAACGCCGACGCACGGACAGCTGTGCAGCGCGTTGTGGTCAAAGAAAAGATATAGGTATAGGTAGAAACTCGAGGTAGAAATGTAGGGGGAATGCACGGCCACAGAGTAAGCTGCTCGATGCGGGCAGCACAAAGTACACACACCGTGCTGTGGCCGGTTGTCTCGTCCACTGTTCGAAACAGAGAGGATAATAAAGTTACGTAAGTGGCATTTAAGCTGACAGGTGAGTCTGAGGATTATTTGAGTGGGTCGAGGTAGGGCGAGGGTAAAGGGTGCTGCGTTACACTGCTGCACAAAACTTCAAAGATTTAAAGAAAAATATTTTAGGAAGCCTGTACCGATTTAAAAACTTGTTCTGTTTTGTTTGAATGCAGAAGAACACAATGCATATCGATTACTTTCAATCTTAATGATGATTGGTAAACGGTCATTGACTGAATAGTCTCGTCTCCACTTGTCTGAAAATGTTTGAACAGAGCTCAATGCTGCGACTCTATTTAAAAACCCGCGCTAACTTACGCGGCGTCCAATGTACAACCTACAACACTAACATGCAAAAATGAACATTTTCTTGTGTCTTTTTCAAAACATTCGTCTACCATTTCAATAATTTCTTAAAAATTTAATTTTATGTAAGAGTTTTTTTTTTGACATGATGTGAATCTGACAATACTCGTTTACTTTCGAGCGTTCGTAGCGTAAGGTTGCTCTGACTGTCCGACGGGAGGGGGGAGCGGGGCAAGAGCAAAGGGGAAGGGGAGGGAGGGGAAGAGTTGTGGACGTTGATCACCTTTCATCGCATCAGTCAAGTGACGGGAACAGTTAGCAATTTTATTCGACCAAATCTGTTCCTGATATCGCCTCTTCTCTCACGATGGCTGCGTTACTGGTCACCCGAGTTTTTAAGGATTTGTCGGTGATAGGCAGCAAGTTTTCCCGTAAGTGTCGCGCGAAGGTTGCTGGAAGGTGCCGAATGGTTTTTGCTAGCACCATGACTAGTACTCGGTTCATTGCAAATACTGCCTCGTTAGCCCCTTGAAGAGCATTGGACTGACCCTGCTTGGGATCTGTTCTGTATTCGTTCCTATCATCTGGTAGTGTCTCCTCCATTTCCGAGCCCTACCAAAAGCTATGTTTCGGATAACCTATTTGTCCGCCTGTCCCCGGCCCCCACCAGGCTTGTTGCCCGGTTTGTTCATGTCTGTCCACGGCCGGGATATTTGCTAGTATTGCCCGACTTTCCACGTCGGTGTCGCTGTCACGCCTCCCTGCTTATACCGATATGTCGCTTGGAGTGCTGCCGGTGCGCTGTGTCCCGCGGCTACCTGCCCCGAGTTTCACCAACCTGATGAATGTCATTTCAACAGTATTTACATTTCACTCCCATTGAAATGAATGAAGTCGGGCGCGTATTGCTGTCACTGGTGGCCCGCAGTAGTCTCTACCTTATGGGGTGAAACCCAGGTTTGTTATTGCACGTCCTGTGGAACCTGCGATCCTGGACTTTGATCACTTTATCCTCTAGCTTCAAAAGGTTCAAAGTTCACCTTCAATTATATCTGCCTTTAGCAAACATATTTATAAAAATAACTCTGCTAGACTTTACTTTGATATGGCTTGAATCATTAGAAGTTGAATGTCATGAGATAATAAATGTATATTCTGGATTTCTATGAGGCTTTAAGTATTAATTGCTGATTGTCCATTTTAACAGGACCTCCATCACGTCTGTTTTCTGTTACATCCGAAATGCATTCGCACCTCAAGACCAAAGTTGTAAATAATGTCTGTGTTGTCACGATTGATTCACCCGGTCAAAAGGTTTGAAATTGTGATATTTATAGAACTGTTGTGCTTTGCTTTATTTGTGATTCATTTTGAAAATTCTTTTTTTAGGTGAACTCATTAAATTCAGAAATTATGTCTGAAGTAACAGAAGTACTTAACAAGATTAGAAGTGATTCGAATATCCAAGCAGGTGTTTTAATATCTGGGAAACCAGGCAACTTTGTTGCCGGCGCTGACATCCGTATGCTATCTGCCGCTAAGAGCAAGGAAGAAGTCACTGCAATTTCTCATAGCGCCCAACAAATCCTCCAATCTATTGAAGACCTCCAAAAGCCCTTAGTTGCTGCTATCGCTGGGTCTTGTCTTGGCGGTGGTCTTGAGGTTAGTTCTGCTGACCCCTTTCAGCTATCTTTGATTAATGGTTTCCCTCCATCATGTAAGCATTAATTATTTTCCTTACAGCTTGCTCTTGCTTGCCAATATCGTATTGCTATGAAAGATGCTAAAACCGCTCTCGGGCTACCTGAGGTAATGTTAGGCTTGTTACCTGGAGCAGGTGGTACAATTCGTCTGATGAGGCTGACTAGAGCACCCAATGTGTTGGACCTGGCACTTACTGGGAAACAAATTCGAGCCGATAAGGCTAAGCAGATGGGCATTGTTGATCTAGCTGTTGACCCCCTCGGTGAATCGTAAGCTACGCCATTTATGTTATTGTGAACTATACGTGTTTTCTATGTTCATCAAACTCACCTAAGGTTTTCTTAGATTCCGCAATGCTGAGTACCTTGAGGAAGTTGCAATTAAGATTGCAAAAGATATTGCGACTGGTAAAATGAAAGTTGACCGGACTCCCAGTCTAGTAGACAGAATTTTTGCCAATGTCCTGAAAGTTCAATATGCTCGTGATTTTATCCTTGGGAAAGCCAAGGAAAGTGTCATGAAGGCTACAGGAGGCAACTACCCAGCCCCCTTGAAGGTAAATCGTTTTTATTTCTTCCATTCATTTTAAAACTTTTAATGTAAATGTAATCATGACTGAATTAAATATATCTTATCTAGATTTTGGAATTGGTTCGCACCAACATGGAAAAAGGAGAAACGGCTGCATTCGAATTTGAACGAAACACCTTTGGTGAATTGGCAATGACTCCTGAAAGCAAGCAACTATTAAATCTCTTCAATGCACAAACTGAATGCAAGAAGAACCCATTCAAAGCACCAGTCAAACCCATCAAGTATGTGCTCTGAGTTCAATCACCTCTCTCACATTGTCATTTGCTTATATAATACTGTTCTTATTTTTGGTTATTTTGCTTTGCAGGACTGTTGCAGTCTTGGGAGCCGGTTTAATGGGTGCTGGCATTGCTCAGGTTACCGTTGACAAGGGTTACAGTGTCATTTTGAAAGATACTAATGAGACTGGTCTAGCTAGGGGAACTGAACAAATTCGCAGTGGTTTGGATAAAGCTGTGAAAAGGAAGAAGATCTCTGCGTTAGTCTTAAAATTGGAATTGAGGTGGATGTGTTGTAGGTAAATATCTTTCTTATTAACAGTCTATTTCCACAGGTACCAGCGAGACCGTCTTTTGTCCAACATGGATTCTACCTTGTCATATGATTCTTTCAAAAATGCCGACATTGTTATTGAAGCTGTATTTGAAGATCTCAAAATCAAACACAAGGTCATTTCTGAGATTGAGGCTGTTTGCCCACCGCATTGCATCATTGCCTCAAATACCAGTGCCCTCCCTATTGCCAAAATAGCTGCTGGCAGCAAACGCCCTGACAAGGTTTGTGAATATTGTCATTGTCTATTTTGATTTAATTAAGAAGTGTTTCTGTCCTAACTTCTTGCACTTATTTTTTTTCTCCAGGTTGTAGGAATGCATTACTTCTCTCCAGTTGACAAAATGCAATTGTTAGAAATTATCACCACCAAGGACACTTCAGAGGAGACTGCTGCTCAAGCTGTGGCTGTGGGTTTGAAACAGGGCAAAGTTGTCATCACTGTTGGAGACGGACCAGGCTTCTACACAACACGTATTCTTGCCATCATGATGGCAGAGGCTATTCGTCTTGCCCAAGTATGTACTCAGATGTTACAAATCTTACAATGAATTAGAAATTTGACAAGTGAGCTGTTCACCTTTTCACTAATTTTCTTTTTCTTTTTTCTTTGCCAACAGGAAGGTGTTGACCCCAAGGACCTCAATAAACTAACAAAGACATTCGGTTTCCCTGTGGGTGCTGCTACCCTAATGGATGAAGTTGGTTTGGATGTGGCTGCCCATATTTCAGAGTTCTTGTATGAATCATTCGGTCAAAGAGCAAGTGGTGGTAACCCATCTCTTATCACAGAACTAGTAGAGAAGGGCTGTCTTGGTGAGTGCATTGTGAATGTTGTATACTTGGAAACTATATTTACAGGTGAAATTAATCAATATCTTATTCTATGTGTTCAGGTCGCAAGAGTGGAAAGGGTGTCTTCCTTTACTCTGCTGGTTCTAAACAGAGACCTGTCAACCCAGATGCTATTACCGTTTTCAAGAAGTATTCCCTCCAACCCAAAGGTTCTTTCACTCCAGAGGATAACACCATGCGAATGGTGTCTCGCTTTGTCAATGAGGCTGTGTTATGTTTGGAAGAGAATATTCTGCGCAACCCTGTAAGGAAACTTTCTTTTGTAAGAACATCTTCTTGTTTCAAATCTCTTATCCAATTTCTTTTTTCTTTTAGGTTGAAGGTGATGTTGGTGCTGTCTTCGGTCTGGGCTTCCCACCATTCAGAGGTGGTCCTTTCCGCTGGGTAGATTCTTATGGAGCTGCTAACCTTGTTAGGAAAATGCAAGAGTTTAGGAACGCATATGGTGTTGAATTTGAACCCTGCCAACTTCTCAAGGATCATGCCAACAACCCCAACAAGAAATTCTACCCTGATATGACAAGCAAGTTGTAATTTTTAATTTTCTTTGTTTCAACCCTTAGCTAGTCTTCTGGTTTTCTTTACATGTTGCTTGTGAGTAGGGGGCTGCCCCTTATGCTGGATATGAGACTACTGAATGTGTTCGTGTTTTTAAAATGCTGGATTTTCAAAATTATGGCAATTTTGTGGCATTTATCTGTGTGTCCAATTTTTACTTTATTTTATTGCACCTAAAGACATTATTATTTTATAGAATTATTCTCTTGTCACTTCTGCTGGACAGCCTTGTTATCGTTTTCTTTATATTTGTAAATAATATTTTAATGAATTGGAAATGTTTCCATGAAGAAGACTGCTGAAATGTAAACCTATATTTTTCTAGCCCCTATCCAGATTTTATTTTATTGAATGTTTGTTGAATTGCTTGTGACATGTAAGAATCCAGAAATGAATTGAGCTTTGAATAGATAAGGCATCACATATTGACTGTCTCTTTTCTGTTACATTTAACTTAATTTGTATGTGGAATTTTTTTTACTGTTTGTCCCTTTTTTTATTGGTATATTTTGCTGAGCAAACCCCTGTATCATCTAATGTGACCAGCCTTCTTATATACATGCGTACATTATTTTTATATCTGCTTTAGAGATTATTATATGTACTGATTTTGAAATAATCATGTCTACAGTATTGTCCCCTCTTGGCTCTATAAAATGTTTCCTTGACTACTTTAAAAACAATCAAAGGCTGTTATATAGAAGTATTTGGCGATTTTAAGTAAAATAAATTTCCCATTTTTACTGAATGGCCGTTTCCTTGATGTTTTCATCTCCTTGGACCTGGGCTGTTCGGCCACACCCGGTTAGGAGAAAGCTCCGCTGGCGCGCTGTGTGCTGGCCAGCCCTCTCTGCAGGCCGAACGCGCGACCGAAGTTAGTCCGAGCGGACCGTGCGGTGTTTGGCGTCTAGGTCATCGCTATCGATCCGCCCCAGGACCGCGGGCGCGGAGCATGCGCCCCTGGCCGGCGCAGTGCGTCCGCGGTGACGGTGCCGCCCCGCACCCACCCCGCGCCAGGGCCGTGGGCTGGTCCCGGGCCACGGGGGTGGCGGGTGGACTGTACCGCGCCGGGGGCGGCAGGGCTGCGTCCGGGCGGTCCCGCGCCCCCGCGCCCGTCGCACCACCGCGGCGCCGACAAGGACGACCTCCCGCACGCAGCCGCCCCGTGCCGTGTTAGGCCAGGCTCGTCGCAGCCAGGACGCTCTGCTCAGCTCTGCTCAGCCCTGCTCCAGCGCTGGTCCCAGACGCCACCGGGACATGGAATAACCTGCGCCGTCATGAAGGCCCTGAGCGTGGCCGTCGCGGCCCTGGTGCTGCTGGCCCTGGGGGCGCCCTCGCTGGCGAGCAGCTTCGAGGACGACGATCTGGACTGCAAGGAGGTGAGTGATCGCGCGCGGCGCTGCTGGCGCCAGCCCTGCCCGCGCAGTGCCCGAGTGTCCTTGCCTGCTCGGCCTTGGCCGCCGTGGCCGCCGCCGTCCCCGGCCGTGGTAACAGGTGTCGCCAGGGTGGCCCTGGTCAGCGAGGGTCGTCGGCGGCCACCCCCGCCCCGGGGACCGTGGCAAGAAGAGAGGCACTGCGCCTCGGGGTCGGCCATCTCGCCATCTCTAACCTGTTGTCATGCCAACGGTCCAGATGGTCCTGCTGCTGGGCGTCTTCCAGGCGGGGAGGCAGCGGGGGGCAAGGAGGGCTGCTCTTCTATCTCGATATTCGTCACTCGCTCGTCACCGTTTTAGGGGCTCTCGTCGGGTTCAGTGTGACGGCGACGTGACGGGGGTGTGGGGCACCACCGGCGGCGTCACGTGACCCCACCCCTCAGGGGGGTCGTGCCCCGTGCTTGATCGCAATCACCGCCCCCCATTACGTCCCGACAGGGTTACGAGCGGCCGTCGTGTCGCGGCCGTCAGCTGACAGGGCGCAGGCGCGCGGCGGGGTGGTGCGGGGCGGCCGCCCGGCAGGGTAGGCTGTACCGCGGTGCCGGCGCGCGCGGCGGGCGACGGCGCTGCTCCTGCTCCCCGTTTGTGGTGCAGTGATGACGGCGGCGTTGTTGTTGCAGCTGGACTACGAGTACGCGCTGACCGAGTGCGACTCCCAACGCGGCCGGTGGCGGGTGCAGGTGCCGCGGTCGGGCCGCTGCGCCGACAACAACCCCCGGCCCGCCCGCCGAGTGGACAAGTGTCGTGAGTATCGCACCCCCATCAGTTCCAAATTTTTAAAGTCCTACATTTTTCACCCCCAACAATTGAGAAATTTTCCAGAAAAAATGGAGGAAAA